ACTAGCAGATACCCATACTAGTGAATGCTGCTCTCTCATTGGCTGTAGGGGATAATTGATGTCATTTTCAATCAGAACACATTCACATTCACAAGGCATGATTTGAATCGCAGACAGCTCCAGATATTTAGAATGTCCAATATCTCACCGGTGTAGCAGACTCATCTAAGATTCTCTCAGATCGCACCTTTGATAGTTCATACTGTGTGATTGATACTCACGTGAATGAGCACCGATTTGCCTGTGATTTCAGGCATTTCTCAAAACCTGTCGGCCAGTCAAAAACCGGAACTAAAGTCATGCAGTATGAACTCGGCAAAAGCTTGCGTTAAAACATTAAAACATGCATATAGTACCATTTTAATCTTTCAGTATACTTTATTATCATATTTATATTGCCAATTGAATATCAGAACTTTGGTTCAAGTACCAATTCTTACTGCAAATTAGAAGCTTATTATCTGCTTATTAATAATATATACATAGTTTTTTCATGCTTATAAAAGTACATATTCTGTATGGATCAATACCTAAACACAACTACTACCTGAATAACTAACAATAATAAACAAATTAAGAAGAATCAGAATCAGAAAGAGCTTTATTGCCAGGTATGTTCACACATATAAGGAATTAGTTTTTGCGACAGAAGCTTATACAGCACATCAGAATAACAAAAAAACCCAGATAATGAATATATTTAAACTAATTGTAGAAAAGCAACTAAAGATGGGACAAACTAACAAAAATGTAAAAACAACTGCAGAGCACGACATGTAGTGAGCCATCGTCATTGGTGCCATCTTGTGTTAATTTACTGAGGCAAAATAATAGTTAATGGTGTTAATAGCAAGAATTGTACCTTTAACAATGTGACCAAAAATATGAATTAAACCGCTGTTGATTTACTTATGAAGTAAATTAACGCAAGACTGCATTTCTGTTCTTACAAAATGCATTAACTCATTTTTAATTTCTTGCTTTCTTACGGTATTTCCTTTTACAATTACTTTGATATCAACATGTAACTCAATCCCAGTTAAAATGTAAAACGACGACATACAGTTGAAGTCAGAATTATTATCTTCCCTGAACTATTAGCCCCACCTGTTTATTTTTTTCACCAATTTCTGTTCCCCAATTAATTACTCATTTGTAATAACTGATTTATTTTATCTTTGCACGATGACAGTAAATTATATTTTACTGGATATTTTTCAAGACACTTTTATACAGCTTAAAGTGACATTTAAAGGCTTAACAAGGTTGATTAGGTCAACTATGCAGGTTAGGGTAATTAGGCAAGTTATTGTATAACGATGGTTTGTTCTGTAGACTATCGAAAAAAGTTTAAAGGGGCTAATAATTTTGATCTTAAAATGTTTTTAAAAAAATTAAAACTGCTTTTATTCTAGCGGAAATAAAACAAATAAGACTTTCTCCAGAAGAAAAAATGTTATCAGACATACTGTGAAAATTTCCTTGCTCTTTTAAAAATAATTTTAGAAATATTTAAAAAAGAAAAAAAAAAAATCAAAGGGCTAATAATTCTGACTTCAACTATATATATTAGATTTTTACATTAAAGAAGCATCACTCGCATTTTCATTAGACAGTTTAACGGAAGTTATCAGCATGTTGCAGCTAATAAGGCAGTCTTAGTTGTTTTGATGTGGTGTTCTGTAGAGGTTAAATGATTGCTTGATTGTCGATTTTGCAGATTAAGCAGAAGATATGGGTTTATTTACCAGCTGAAAAGGAAGCTTCGCTATTACACAGCATGAAAGTAGCAACACACAGTATTCAAAAGTACTTATGTAGCATCTAGTGAACACACAAATTAAAGATTTGTAGTACATGTTCCACTAAGGCTAATAAGATGCTAACAGTTGCATTGTTGTATATATTCAGCTGGTCACTTATGCATTCATTACTCTGAATTTGCATATTTAAATTTAATCACATTAGAATGCAAAGTGATAGGCTGTTCACACAGACGAGAAACAAGTACAATTTCAGTTCTTTTATTTTAAACTTAATACATATTTCATATTTGTAATGATAATTGTAATTATCAATCTTTCTAAATCAATTAATAAAGTGTGAGAACGTACATATAATATACACTATAAATTAAAATACATATAATTCTGGTTTTCTTTCAATTTTTACATATTTCACAAAGAGTTTTTGCCCAGTCGATGGAATAGGAAGTAACAGGATTTAGGACACCCCCTTAACTATAGGTATGAACAATAAAAACCACAATGCTTGCTTACTAAGAAACACTAATAAGAACACTACAACTATATGTATATTTAGTTACTCGCATACATTTATAAGAAGCTAAAATACACTGTAAAGTCATCTGGCTGTTTCTAGACTTCAAATAAGAAGACTAAAGGAAGATACCGATATTTCAGATACAGTAATCGCTTTGTCATACCACAATAAGAAAACCCCCTTAACAGACCAGAAACACTGCTTTGAATGACTGTACAGCTAGGAAAGGCAAATATTAGTAATGTGACATTATTTGCCTTTTTAAAATGGACATGGATAAACTTAAAGGGATAGTTCACCCCAAAATGCTAAATTTCCTCATCATTTACTAAAACTGATGTGGTTCTAAATATATATTTTTTCTACTGTTAAACACAAAAGAAGATATTCCGACAAATGCTGACAAAAGCAACCATCTACATACATAGTAAAAACAAATAAACTACCATGTGTTTAAACTATTTGTGTCATTCATCAGCATATGCGTTCAACAGTAGAAAGAAACTCGAATCGTTTTTGAAAAAGTGGAGGGTGAGTAAAAGATGGAGGGATTTTCCATTTTGGGTGAACTATTTCTTCATGATATGTTTGAAGATAATGCCCCCTAGTGTCCACAAAAGACAATAACATCTTTTTTATACTGTGTTTTTGTGTATTTACGTGTGTGCGTATGTGTTTTTGTGACATATCAGGACACAAATCTGTATATTGACATGGGTATGACAGGTATTACAAAAAGGAGGTGAAATATGAGGACATTGGTGATGTCCTCATTTCTCAAAATGCTTATAAATTCTACAGAATGAGTTTAATCAAGGAGTAAAGCTACACAGTCTCCTGTGATGGTTGGGTTTAGGGGTAGGGTGGGGTGAGGGCAATACAATATACAGTTTGTTACAGTATGAAATGAATGGTAACCTATGTAATGTCCCTACTTTTCACAAAAACAAAATCACAAAAAATACAACATCTTGTATCATTAGAAATCTAATTAAACTTATTTAATAAATCATCAAATTTTACTCAAACCCACACTTGAAGTAAATTTCAAATGGTCACTTAAATTGATTTCTGTACCAGTATTTAAGGTAGTATTTTTTTATTCCGTCTCATTTTACACTCCAGAAGATGTTTACATTTTAAACACTTTCCCGCTGTGGCTCACTGGAGCTTTTGTTCAGTAATTGTGCACTGAATTTGCCAAGGACAAAATCCTGCTAAATCCTATAGGGTTGAATGAGCTGTGTGTACGTTTTCTGCGGGCTATAACTCTGCTACTGACTAGTGTTTTTTTTTTCTGTACACAGATAAAACTTTGCGTCCTCCTTATGCACTTCATTGTATTTACGTTTATTCTGGCTTGTGTGTGTGTGTGTGTGTGTGTGTGTGTGTGTGTGTGTGTGTGTGTGGCACAGGTATCAAACTTAATTCCAGGAGGGTCGCAGCTCGGCACAGTTTAGTTCCAACCCTAATGAAATACAACAGATCAAACTTAATTAAGTCCCTCAGGCTTATTTGAATCCTCCAGGCAAGCGTGTTGGAGCAGGTTGGCACTAAACTGTGTAGGGCTGTGGCCCTCCAGGAGCTGAGTTTAACACCCCTGATTTAAAGGGCAAGATCACACACCTGATCCAGATCTTGCTTCCGTTCATGGTGTAGTACTGGCCGCAGGGTGAGCGAACTGCGGTGGTTTTAATGGAGGCTGCATCAGAACCACTTGCAGGTTCAGTAAGGCAAAAGGCAGCAATGTTCTCTCCTATGAAACAGAAAATAGCAGTTTTATAAGCAGTAAGAACTTCATGTAAGCATACAAATATAAAGATTGTTTGTGGAAGGTTTTTTGAATTTTGAGATAAGGCCTATTTTAAGTCTTCAATATTTGAAAGCAGAGACATTCTCCACTTATTTATATATGTAAACATCACCATAAGCTAGTTTTCATATCCGCACAGCATATTTTGTTCACGATGCCGTGATGTCATGTATTTTAAGAAATGTATTCAAAATGAGAAGGTGAACTTTAAATTGCATTTTGAAATGTTTTTATATCAGTCAGATTTTTATTTACACATGACAGCATCATTTTGAATGCACTTTGTATCTTGTATGTGCATCAGTCAGAAAACAGTAATAAATCTTAAACACTTTCTTACCATACAGCATTTAAAAAAGCAGCATGTTAGCTGAGAAGTATGTCTACATTTATAATATTTAAAATACATTATGCAAGAAGTTTACAGATACCCCAAAACAGTTTTGCTGCAATTCAGAACTTTTTGATTTAGTGGCTAATTCCTATTCATTCGTATGATCTCATATGTACCATTTAGTACAAATAGAATGTGCCCCAATGACGGACAGGTTTAGGGGTGGGGTTGAGTGCCTAGCTTCCTTTTTTTAAATTGTACATTTTTGTACGGCTAAACAAATAAGCTACTAAACTGACAAAATGTAAAATAGTTGTTTTCTCGTAAGATCAGGCTAAATACCCTACCACTTCCACTGAAATTAAGTCTGAATTCAATGGAGGTTCTACTATCCCACAACTCAATAGGACATGATTAATGAATAAAGAGACATAACTGACACTAAAGTGTCATATGATAATGATAACATGGGGAATGTGAACATTTTTTTTATTGGAATGTTTCTTTAATGTCTGTAAAATAAACTCATATACTTTTAGTAGTACATTACAGCATAAAAAAATGATAAATAAGAATAAACCAATCAAAACTAGCTGGTTAAATCACCATTAAATTTGTTGCATGCCCTTTTACACTATCACAAGTTCACTCACCAGTAGCCAGCTTTGGAAGGTATTTCTCTTTCTGCTGAGGGTTACCAAAAAGCAGGATGCCCTTGAAGCCAATGGACTGATGGGCTCCGAGCGTAATGCCCACACCCAGATCATGCATTCCCACAATCTCCACCAATCTGGCATACTGTAAATAGAGCAGTTTATAGGTTGTTGACGTAATGTTGCATTTTCACTGTCACACATGACAACATAATTATATTCATTTTTATTTAAAATGTATTAAATAGTTAAATGTTTCTTTGTCTTCCATGGACTTCTTGTTATACAAACCATTAAACCATTAAATTGGAGCCAAATCTTAAAACTGCCCTATGGTGTGACGTACTCAAGCACAGTTCATTGAATGATATCTCTTATAAAATTATTTGAAAAAAAACATGAATACTGGTGCCGAGCAAAGAATAATTGTGAATAATTGCTTCCAAAAGAAAAGTTTGCTTTGACATGATATATGTATATATATATATATTTATTATGTATATGTGATACACACACGCATACAGTACATAGAAACAAAACTACAAAACACTTTTGTTACATGGATAATTAAAAATAAATATAACTTCTGTCATAGACATTTATTTTAAATCTGAATATGAATGAACATTTTTTAAATATATGCATGCATGTTTGCATTTATATATACACATAATAAATATACACAGCACACACACATATATTATGTCAAAACAAACTGGATGCAATTTCCGGTGCTTTTATGAGTGTGAAGAGAGCAAAGTCGTGACAACTACTGCCACCAAAAATTATTTTTAAATAAAAAATGTCTGTGTAATCAAATTAAATTATATCAGTTTAATTAATTGAATATAAAACAAAAATAACTATTAATTCGACAGTTCAAGAGAACTTTGAAAATTCTTGGGTGTAAATGAACTGCATGTGTTAGTGCTTAGAAGAAAAAGAAAATTGATGGTATAAATAAAATTAAAATATTTAGAATTAATGAATTGACCCCATTCAAGATCATGTGACTAAAATCCAAAGTGAAGCCCATGACCTGTGAATTTGTCTCAGTTTTTCACATTTAGCTTTGTTTTAAACCATTATAAAATTGTTAAGTTTTGAGGTCCTTTGATGTGACATTGGATATTTTTCAATAAATGGGACTAAGTCATGTGAAATAAAACGTTACTTAATTTCATAATAAATAAAGAGTGCTGCAAGAAGGTAAGAGTCCAACAAAGATAAATCACGCTCATGTTAATTGTATATACATAATATACTAAGACTAATAAGAGTTGTTTTTCTTAATTTTTGCACCATATGATTTTTTACAGTACAGATCAGTAAAACAGTAAAACAATGACAGTTAGTCAGTGACCCTTTATGTTTTCTCTAACATCAGACATCAAACTAAATAAATTAAACTACTCTTTTTTTGGTAGATATTATGTTTTATTTGTTTTGTTTCAAGCATTTTTACTGCATACTGTCAACAAACCACATGTATCCGTCTTATAGCCCTAATGATAGAAGAGTGTTGATGAATCTGCGGTCTAACCTGGGTGTTGGTGAGGCCCACGCCACCAAGATCTGCAGGCACCTGAAGACCAAAGGCTCCCATCTCCTTTAGACCCTGCAATGTGTGTTCCTCCACCTTCTCCAGAGCATCATTCTTCATCGGGTCATTCACCTCCTAGAAAGCCACACAGCCACAATTCAAAGACTACTACAACATCATTGTAAGTGTACAACATAGAAGCAATCAAGTTTGAGCCACACTAACAACCTGCAATTGTACTGATAACATTTTAACACAAAGGTCAATGACAGCTATTCTGTCTGCCCTAGATGAGACACAAAGTAGTGTGGGAAGACTGCATTTATTTGATTGATTTGCAGCATGTATTTGAATTAATAATCAAGTGAGATTTTGTGTGCATGTAAATCAGCTCCTCATTGCTGAGCAATTTAATGTAGCCAATCAGTAGCAAAGGTAATGTTTTAAATAAACATTGTAGGACAGCAAAATTGTGTGTCTTAAATGTTTGTGCTTCTATCAACAAAGGCAGAGCATGTATATAGAATGGTTACTAAAACATCTTCAGTTAACCATGAATTATATGGTGTAAGCACTTTAGAACTGAGTATCTACAATGAACATAGATTAATATAAAAGTATAATGTGCAACATAAATAACAATGTGCTTAGAAGTGAATCAATATTGGCCCGTCCTGTTGTTGACACCCTCTAAAGCAGGTCGCACACCAGAAGCGTTGCTCTGCAGCGCGCCGCGCAGCGCCACGCAGCGCCACGCAGCGCCATGTATTTTAGAATTCTAAACATAGGTTTCTATCAGGATACACACACCGGCGCCGCAAGTCGGCGGCGCCCAGCGATGGCTCAGGACGCAGTTCATTTTTCAGCCGCGCCACAGAGCGCCATCTGATTAGTTTCATGTTAAATATCATTCGAATGTGCGCGTCTGGTGTGTGATACTTTAAACTGTCATGTACGCGCTGTGTCGCGGCGCCGAGCGGCGCTTCTGGTGTGCGACCTGCTTAATGGTTACATTTTTCTCCTAATTCTCTCACAATTGTCCACTGGTTGATTTTTGCAATACATGTTTCGAATATGTTCAAATAATTAAAGAAATCAGTCCATAAAACAAAAGAAGTGATTCTAAAACTGAAATGAACTTACCTCAAAAAACTTACTGCATGGTCCAACCAGCTCCCTGAGGAACTGTGACTGCTCTTCATTAAGCACTATTAGGGTTAAGAGTAAACATTCAGAATTACATTACATTAAAAACATGGATGTGTGTTTAATGCATAAAAACAGCACAACAAAAACTAAAAGAAATAATATGGTACTTTTACGATAAAATCAACATTGTTTCATTGTTCGAAATATTCATGTTGGGCCAGGTCTAATAGGGTATATGCACAAAAACTTTTAATTTCAGAGAGACAATCCCAAGGCTTCCAGTGAATTGTCATTCCAAACAAAAGTAAAAAAAATAATAAATAAATAAATAAATAAATAACATTTTTCTTTTTTTCGCCGCAACCTTCACTGCCTGGCTGTGATACGATATAAAGTGGGTATCAGACCAAACAAGATGTACAATAAAATATATTTTTACACATCACATCTTTAAAATATGGAAATTAATTTTACTCCAGTAGTTTCAATGAAATATCTGAGCTAGTCTGCAGCTAATGACTGCAACTTCTTTTATACAGTTTTTCATCTCTTTTTACGCTTTACCAACCAAATGGACGCTTAAGTCTATTTAACGGATTATATGTGAATTACATTACAACATTGATGCTGTTAAAGGAACCTTATGAAATTGAAAATAGCCACAAAAACCTTTCATCGGAAGTTTATCACTGGCTAAAAAACACTAGCTGTGCTTACAGCCCATTATTGCATCTAAAACATGCTTTGGCACAAAGAAAACAAACTCACCTGAGGGATAGGGAAAGACCTGTGAAGTGCTGATTTGTCCCTTGAACATGTTGACAGCAAAAGACTTTGATTCCTAGTGAATTAAAATAAGTGTATACTTTCTCCATTATCGAAAGATTTCAATAGCCTGTCATTACCTTTATTATAACTAAAATTATCTCAACAAATATAAAATTTTAGCATTCCAACATATGATAAGACTCTTAAACACAGATTAAATGTGTCTGAATTTATAAGCATATAGTATACATATGCATAAAAGAATTTATACACAATATGAACATCTGCATAATTACTCACCACACTAACGACTGCTTTATCAACCGTCTCAGCAGTCGCGGTGGTGTCTCTGCTGACTACATTCTTGTCCAGAACAGCCTTAGCAAAAATAACAAGAGTAAGTTATCAGTCTGTTCACGTTTGTGGAACAAATCTACAGCATTCTTATGTTTTCAGTATTATACAAACATCACAAGTTAATATTGTACATGAAATAGATCAGGGGTTCCCAAACTATTTAGCCAGCAACCCCCAAAATTACAATGCCAGTGACTCGTGACCCCCAATATCCTCTGAGGCGATTATAAATATATAAACCTTACACACTGGCACACACATACCAATAGGCCCAAGTCTATTGACATTTAATTTTGAAGAACGCTACTCAGAGATCATCCTTCATGTTCAGTTGTGGCCTGTATTTATTTTTAAATGTACGCGAGTGCTGTAAAGGTGTCAGAAAGATTAACCTGGTGCTATAAAATCAATGTACTGTGTCTTTAATAAAACAATATCATCCCAGGGGTCGAATTGAATGGCTGATGGCTTTTTATTTGCATGTTTTTAATATAACTAGTAACTACTATTTTTTACTGCAGTAGGTTATGGATAAAATATGGTCTTTATAATAGTTTAATAAAATAAATTAGATTTTTGGAAATCACCAAGTGACCTCCATGTCATTGTCTCCCTACCTCAACTTTGAGGACCACTGACTTAGGTCACTAGTTTATTGAAAGTACATGCAATCTAAAGAACGAGGAAGGTTTCACATTTGGTGTGGACTTCTTAAGTTATTCTGACTGGGTTCAAGGACAGTGTGACAAAGTGACAGACAATTTCCATGGCATCACAAAAAGCCAAAAAAAAAAAAAAATGGCAGCCAAGTAGAGCAAAGAGCAATGACAAGGATCACATAACCTTCCCTGATAAGCCCTCACTCACACAAACAAAACAAATAATGTCTTCTTACAAAACAAACTGATACTGAATCAATCCTAAATAACTATATATGTCTCTTCCATCTCCAATTATAATTTCTAACACGTAGACTTGCTGTAGTTAAACCATAATATTTACGTGACACACAAGACCGCATGGTAAAACACAGACTGCCAAGCCTGTGTGTCATGTGAACTGGATGTGAACTTTACTCCAGATTTATATTATTGGGTGTCTCAGAACAAGCACCTGTTTTTTCCATGGGACCTTATTGGATTGGCCAGAGTAGTTCACAAAGTATGTAAGTGATATAACCACTTACAAAACAACGTTACAAAAAGTAATTATAAATACATAATAATAATGACATGAAGCCAAGAGTCTCACCTCTGCAGTTTGGCTCGCATAAAGACGAACATTCTGAACTCCCACAAGTGCTCCAGATTGCCGCTGTGCCCTGATAATTTGATCAAGCATAATCATAATTATTACATAATGACAGACAAATGTATTTTTAATTACCTTTAAGCATACATCACATGATGTATAAATGTATTTTCATGTTTTAGCTTTGCTATCCTTATATATGAGATTCAATATAATTTTATAAACATTTATCAATAATCAGCTTGTTTTCATTTGTTTATATGAAGCTAGCTGATATTATTTATATATTTTACAATTACTTAACAGGCTATGTAGTATATATAAACAGTAGTCAACATTTGAAGTGAATCGAAACATTTTCAAATTGACAAACAGAAATGAGTGTTGTTCAATAGGACTAGAAGAATTTCGATGAAAGGTTTTGATCCACTTCAAATGTTGACAACTGTATACATTATAAATTACCTACTTTATTTGACAGTCAACCTCAAATTTAAGTTAGTTGGCGTGTATATCCGATAATTTCCCCCCCCTCACTTAACGAAAACAGATAGTGATAATATTTTTAGTAACGTTAAACACAATAAGCTTTCTCGAGCTGAATGAAAACAGTGAGTCTCACCCAGTAATAGCCGGCTGCAGACGGAGGACGGAGCTGCAGATCGCAGGACTCGTAACTTTACGCAACAGCATTATTATGATGACGAGCAGGCCGAGATTCTTCTTTCTTGCCGAACGTTGTTTATCTCCGTTCAACCGGAAGTGTGGAACTTGCCTATGGATCGAATACGAATTAAAAAGTCAAGAAACGTTGATAAATAAAAGGACAACAACGTCCAGCAAGAGGTGAATGGGTTCTGGTCAAGACTGAGCGCCCTACAATGCAGCAGAACCTGTTTTATTTCGTCCTTGAGTGACTTTTCTCTTTTAGATTGTGGCTCTTCCCACCGCAGACCAGGACCCTCCTCCTGTGCACAATTGTGGCGACACACGAACACTTCTGATACAAAAGACTGAAATGAAATGGCAGTCAAAATATGAAAAGTCCTGTGATACGACGTTCCCTGAGTCACCGCGCTGCTTACCGACTACCGGAAGTACAGATCTTTTACGTTAGCACTGAAGGAAGAGTCATGTAACACCACTGATCTCAGATCAGCTTTTAAAGACACTTCGGGACAGGCGCTACAATACCGCCACATTTTGATTGGTTGAGCCTTACGTCTGTCATAGGATGTCTGTAGCTGTTGCTTAGCAACCATTCCACTATCAGTAATCTTGAAGATATTCTTGCATAGAAAAAAAACTAAAGAAGATATTTAGAAAAATGTTGAAAACGGGTAATCATTGATTTGCATAGTATAGGAAAAGCAAATACTATAAAAGTCAATGGTTACCACTGTTCAATATTTTTCTAAAATATCTTGTTTAGTTTTTGCTATACAAGTCAATAGTTCTCAGCTTTCTTCAAAATACATTCTTAAATTATATTAAGTATACAGTCAGAATGATTTGCCTCCTGTATAGTTTTTATATAGAGCTTAAAATAGCACACAGATGATGTTCTCTAGCTCCCTGAAACAGACCTTTTAAGGCTTAGATCCTAATTATGGTGACTGTCGCTTTAAATTTAAATGAGATTGTGCTCTTTTCAGAAGAGGGCGGAGCTACAAATGTCTATGTGTCAGCGTAGTGGCAAATGACAGAAATTACTGTGTATGTGTGTGTGTTTGTGTGTGAGACTGTGTGTTGTGTGATTCATACCCATAGGAGAATGAGCGGAAAGCCTTGAGTTCCACCAATGAGCTTCAGTATTCTAAAGTCTTTGTATCAGTTCAGTTCACAAAGAAATTTATTAGTTTTGTTTTGTTATGTGAACCCTTACTACATATTAAAAAATAACCGTTTGATTTATGAACATTTATTATAACATTGAAGGGGTTAACTAACACACCCATGGTATACATTCACAGAAAAAATGACTTCACCAGTCTTGTTTATTATTAAGGCAAAAAATATTGTAATTTTTATAAATTAGCAGATAAATACATACAGATTAAATATTGCCCGATTATTATTTGATGTATTTTTTTTTTTTTTTTTTGGTGGAGTTGCAACGATGAGTCACACACAATGTCGTTACAAAGTTCACGTACACACACACACACAGATACTAAGCAATTGTGACAGGATACACATTAATATTCACTCCTGTATGGATATCTGCTATGTTAATGTACAAAAAAACATTTTTTATTGCCACAAACCGGGACTGAAGCGTTTTCTTTTGTAACTGTGGTGACATGCGGCTGTGGTGATGAAGACAGTAAAATCACTGTAATTCATTAGAAACGTGCACGGTTTTAAAAAACGTTTTTAACATGTAAAACTCATTCTTGATCACATTTGATGATGATTTATGATCACAGCAAGCTGAACAGATCTTTTAATTCCAGTTGCTTTGCACACGTCCTGTCTTGTTGATATGAATATTCGTGTTACTATAGCCCCTTTCACACATACAGACCTTTCCGGAAAATTACCGGAAATTTTCCGAAAAGGTCTGTATCTGAACAGGCCCATTTACAAAAAACGGTAAATTCGTTCTGGCTATTTTCCGGAAAGAGAAGTTGTAACTTTACCGGTAATTTGCGGGAATGCTGCGCTGTCTGAAAGTAGAAGGAAGATTGCCGGAAAAAGTGTGTGTCATTCGGAAAAAGCGTGTTATCTGTCATTCTCACGCGGTAGATGCTCTGTTTAACTGTTTTCTTGCTAATAAAATGCTCAGTTTTTACGTACACTTACTTAACGTAATGTTAGTAGCAAATGCGCTTATGGCGCGACGCAACTGGCTCTTAAAGGGAATGGGAGATGAGACTCCGATTAATTTATTCTCAAAACACACCTATAACTCATTAAGAAAATAAACTCAGCCGTTTTAGACCATGCGCCACGGTGCAAAGCAGATTTTCCCGTCCTTAAAATAGCAAAAATGCATTCTGACACGCCCTAAAAGCATTTGAGCCGTGCGTTTTGCGCTCTGCGCATGGACTGTCAAAATAGAGCCCATTTTCTTTATATTACCCCAATTCGACAGAGGAGACACTATACCTACACACAGTTCCGTCCAAAAAGCTTACAAAAAATTATTTTCATTACAGGTGCCCTTTCATTCATATAAAAGGCACTCTAAGTCTCGATTAAAAAAAAAAAAAAAGTTTGGTTGAGTACAATGACCAAATGCCAAACCATTGTCTTGACTAAACAATTTATACACTTAATGCATTTAGAACATAGGCCTCAAATTGGATTCATGGAGGGCCACAGCTCTGCATAGTTTAGCTCCAACCCAAATCAAACTCAACTAATCAAGGTGTTCAAGACTACTAGACTATTAAGAAGGTGTGAACTGAAGGTGGTTGGAGATAAATCTGCAGAGCCGTGACCCTCCAGGAATTGAACTCGAGACCACTGATTTAGATATTTGACCTAATAACATGGGAACTCAGCAATACAAATACAGATTTGGATAATTGACCATAATCATTGTTTTGTATGTTAGTAACTGGTCTACAAAAACTAAAGCCTTCATAGAATTTTTCATCAGGAAAAATGGTACTATTTTAAATCGGAATGCTTTAATTCATTTAATTTAGGCTATACAATGCTATTCATTCATTGATGTATTTATTACTGGCAGAAAACAAGTTAATTTCCAGAGATTTTTAGCGTTAAATTGCAGAAGAAATAAAAAAATGATATAAAGGCACTCAAATGTTCACTAATTATTTCTCTTCAAGTCAAATTAATTAAATTAAAAAATAAGTCAACTTAACAAGTCTGGTGCGTGTTGTAGGTGAACCCAAAGCAAGTGTTTGATTATGCAGGATGGAGAATCTGATTTAAAGTTGTTTAAATGCAATATACATATAAACCCCATCCTCTATTATGTGGTAGTGCATGAGATAATGGATATTGAAACATATTAAAACAATATATTGACACAAAATCCCAAAGACGAGACGGTAAATCAACATGGAGAGAATAAATGACTAGTTTCAGAGTTAATTCTATCATACATTTATTTGGAGTGAAGACATGCAAAAGTGACAGTATCTGATGATATTCAAAAATGTAACACTTAAACATGACATTCCATTGAAATTCAGTCTTTATGTAGCACCTGCATACTTTTCTATAAACTCATATAAAAAAGGCGCTATTGATTATCAGCCATATAAAGAGACAAAAAAAAAAAAGAAGCTCTGGAGTAGAAGAAGAATTAAACAACCCGTTCTACCCAGAAAGTACCATTATGGGGTTAAAACATCCTCTGTGTGTACCGTTTCAGTACAATCATTTTATAATCTGCCTATTTGTAAGAATACTAGCAAGGGACTGCTGTCTAAAACCAGGAATCTGAAGAGTTCTTGACATCTCAGTTAATTATAACCAAATACGAATCCCTGGCTTCATTCAGCAGTACAAAGACAGATTTTAAAGCATACAGTACATCGTACACTAGAGAAAAGCTTTCAGAATTCCTTGGTACACTTTAAAGCACTACTTAGAAACATTATACATCTGACCCATTGTTTCAAATGTTTTGAGTCCTTTTAAAGGTCTTTGAAAGCATGCCTTTTGTTCAGTTTTTTTTTAGTTTATTTTTTACAAAAGTTACATTTTAGGTTATAATTTATCACTGAAATTGATGGTTCATTTAAAATCCAACATTTGCAATTAAATTACCCTCAAGACTATCCAGAATATAGGTGAATTGTACTTCAGTAGAACATTAAAGGAGATTTTTTGCTTGAAACTGTGGTCCTTGGTTACTCATAAAATGAAAGCTACTGACATGGAGTCAAAAAAAAAGTAGGCAATCTAAATATAAATACAAAAAAGCGAATGTAAAGGCGACATCAAAGCTTTTATTATTTGTATTCTTTTATATTTTTGGTTGAGCGTTGATTTGAGACTGATGTGCGTGCATTGAAACAATATAAATGCCAATAATAATACATTAAGGCTTTTTGAAGCTAAATGATTGGTTTTTACTAAAAGCTGAACATTATTTTGAACATTATTACTGTTAATCCAGTCTTAACCAATGTGCTGATGACGGTCTGGAGTGAAATGTTCTTGTTGCATAACAACATATGGGCTAATGCAGGGGTGGCCAATCCTGTTCCTGGAGATCTACCTTCCTGCAGATTTCAGTTGCAACCCTTATCAAACACACCTGTCTGTAATTATCAAGAGGATTTCAGGTCCTAATTAATTGGTTCAGGTGGGTTTGATCAGGGTAGGAGCTAAACTGTACAGGAATATAGATCTCCAGGAACAGGATTGAGCACCCCTGGGCTAATGGAATAAAAACTGTGGATAATCATCCAGCAAAGTGATACTTGTGCTTATCCTGAATGCTGAAGCCTAATAAAAATGTATACAAATAGCACAAAGCCGCGGTAAAGTGTGTGCCTGCTTATAGAAAGTCCATCCAGACTTTAATGAGCATGCTCAAGAACATTTGACTGTGAATAAAAGGTAATAATGTCCCGTTTCTTGCACAGACCGATCATTTAACTTCATAAGACCTCAATGTATAATCAGGATCCACAGTTATTATTTCTATTTTGCATACATGTTGGATTTTTTGCTCTATAAATGTGCTGTTAGTCATAGACTTTTTTTATTTTATGAATCACTATGGGGGACCAAAGTTCCAGCTCAAAATCTTCTTCATTGTTCTACCGAACGAAAAAAAACAAAGAGTTTCATCTTGGCTGGCCTGACGGTGAGTAAATTAAAAGCAAATGCTCATTTTTGGGTAAACTATGCCCGTAAAGCTCGAGTTCCTGTGGATATCGTGTCCTAATGTTGGTCTTTATAAAAGGTGTGTAAAGCTTACTTGAACTTCCTTTGAGCAATATTTTCTGGCAAGTCATGAGAAGCCTTTGTAGATCTTAATCGAAGGCCTTCCAGCCATTTGTGGAAACATTTAAAGAAAATAACAGGACTCAGAAAACAAGGCTTTTTTTCTTTCTTTCTTTAGTATTTTTTTTAGCAGAAGAGTTATTTAGAAGGCCAGACCCTGTTGCGGTTAATACCACAAAAACCAAATGCATTTTGAAGTCTGTGCTATGCAAGACTTCCTACCCTTCCGTAAACCCTGTTCCTACCGTCAAGGACAAACACTAACTCTAAAGAGCTGCACTGATACAGTAAACTACATCTCTGTCCGTCGCAGAGCAGAACTCACAGTTATCACGTGATTACAAACCTCCATCCTTCACTCGGGTACATCCTTCATTACATCACATCCACAAAAAACTCACTGGGGTTGCCCATGGCCAGGTGGAAGGACTGCCTGGAAGCAGTCAGCTCAGGCGGGACGGAGCCCAGGTCTCGGGTCGGGGGAGCTCCTGGAGGCCCGCCGGGGATGCCGGTTGGGGGTAAGCCAGGGTGGGGCGGCAGAGTAGGTGTTTGCGGATGTGGTGCTCCAAGCGCCAGATGTGGGTGTTGGGGCACCATCATCACCATCATTGGGTTGTATGGGATGGGGATGCCGGGCGGATACGGGGCGAGGTGAGGGGGCGGGACGCGGTGATGCGAGCGCTGACTCGAGCGGCTGTGTTCGCTGGGTGTGGCTGAGCCATGATCTCGTCTCAGGGTGCTGCGAACAGAGTAATCTGATTCGCTGCCGCTGCCAGAACGTGAGTCAGCTCCGCCCCCGCCAGGAGATTTATCATCACGCACGCTGCCGCCCACAGTACTCTCAGAAACGCTTTTAGGGCCCCTTCTCTTTTCTCCATCGCTGCGTGTGGAGCCACTACTGTGACTCCCTGAGAAACACGGAAGCAAAACAGCTGTTAGTACTGGACGCATCACGTTGACAAATTCATTGGTTTCTGTGATTTACACAATTCTTCTTGGAAAAACTCCATTTTATTTACAGTCACTTCTGAACATTCAGAAAACATTTCCTAAACATTCAGAAAACATGTCCAAATCTGCACTCTAGTAGTTTTATTAACCTTTGTGTACCCGAAATTTAAGCTTCATTTGGTCGCTACTCTTCTCAGTTTTCTGCTGCTGATGCTTGGAATCATTTGCAGCAGACATTAAACCTCAACACTTTGGTTCCATGATCATCCTTAAAAAATTCAATCCAGTTAATAGTACAAGATCACTGTGCGTGTTTTTAGTTTTTCCTTGGTTGTATGTCATTATCTGCATCTGTGAAATGTTTTTTTTTATTGTGTCCCTGCTGCTTTGTATCTGTTTTTTATGTTGCCTCTTGGCCAGGCTGTAACTGTAAATAAGAACTGGTTCTCAATTAACTTACCTGGTTAAATAAAGGTTATTATTATTACCGTACTCGGAGCACAAAAAATTTAGGCATTAAATGCTGATTTGAATTGTTGTTTTTTGCATAATGATCAGTCACTGTAGAGAACAGAGCAAGCTTTTTGTAATACCAAATATAATTCAAACATCTAAATTCAATAAAATGAAATCAAATGATGAGAAACGTTTAATTAAAAATTTATTCAACTGGCAAATTACAAAAGCATGTCTATTTTTATGAAAATTTAGCATATGTTTCTTTTTTGTTATATAGTGAGTGCTTTAAAAACCACCAGGTTTACCTGTCAGATAAAGTTGCGATGTTTAAAATAAATAAAAAAATAAGTATAATTCTTGAAATTATATAACATTTATTTGTTTATTCATTTATATATATTTGTTATTTTTTAAACAAGTCTCTTACCCTCACCAAGGCTGCATGTGTTTAAATAAAAAACAGTAAAACAGTAATATTGTAAAACATTATTAATATAAATGACAGTTTTCTATTTTAAAATAACATGAAAATATCACTTATTTGTGTCCTGTATAACTAGAAGCTAAATTCACCTTCATTAATCATTCTCGTATACTGATTAAGTCAAGAAATCTTTCTTAAGATTATTACAAATGTTGAAAACAGTTAGCTTCTTAATATTGTCACATTTTATTTCAGGATTCTTTGATGTTCAATTTAAAAGAACTTAGCCAAAATACTGTTATGTTTGATCAATTGTATGCATCTTTGTTAAATAAAAGTATTAATTGTGATTTGCTTGTTTATTTATTGCCACAGCAGCAACTTTGGGCAAGATCAATATAGAGATAAAAACAGTTCAGTAAGTCTCACCTATATGCATTTTGCACTACATATATTATTAATAACAACTAAGACGATAATTACAGAGAACTGGATGAAGACCCACCAACCCACTTTGGCAGAATGGACACAGGCTGAATCAGATAGTTATATTTGAGAAAATAAAATTTTCCAACAGAGCTATGCATTAATCGCAAGATACTTGCTTGATCTTTGAAATGCTGTCAGGGGCTATATTGTAGTTATTGCCTTTGTATTGGAGTTTATTTATTTATCTATCTACTTTTACTTTAAGTGTAATGTATTACCTCTTTTTAAGCTGTCACCATTATTTATTTATTATTATTATGAATGATTATTTTTAATCTATTTGTTTTTTTTTTTATAAATGTAAACATTCTAAGTACATGTTATGTGTATACTATGTTTATAAAAACTTTAATAAAAACACAATTAAAAAAAATAAAAAATCAATAGGCCTATAGATAAAAACACACTACATCATAATAATGTTTCCATTTACATGCACAGCTTATATTGTAACACAAGGTGTCAGTGTAGCTCCTCACCTTCACTATGCTGACTGCCTGCACTGCCTGGGCCGTAGCTGTAGTTAGAGAGCTCATGGTATGGCGGAGGCTGGGTGGAGTAAGGATGAGGGTACTGGTATGTGAACGAGTGGAGCAGAGGCCAAGGTGTCGCCCCTGGCAGAGGAAGAGGAGCCAGAGTGTCCTGGTCTGAAGCACCGCTGGACCCATCATTGTCATTGAGAGAAAGGTTGGCCATGTCTGAAACAAGTAATAGTAAGAGACTGTATCAATAAACAACAACAACAACAACAACATCATCATCATTTTAATTAATTATGCTGTGTGTTTAGGATCAGTTGGGACTTTCCAATGTTTTTACAAAATTAGTGCTCACCAAGGTTGCATTTATTTGAAAGATTCTTTTTTTGTATGTACACTGTATAAAATGCTGGGTTCCACAATATCCATTTGTGTTGGGACAACACAACGGATTAAGTTAACATTAATTTTTTTTTATTTAAGAGATCTAAGCAAAACATTAAGTTGTCCCTAAAAATGTGGCGTTTCAGCTCATTTTAAACAAGTTGTTTGAACAAACAGCAAATGTTATTTTTGAGTGTAGCAGGATGAACAAAGGTATTTAAAAACAAATGTGATTACAGTTTTCTCTGCCATTTATTATTTCTCACAATACAAAAGAAAATAACAACAAGCTAAATCAAATTAAATTAAATTAAATTAAATAAGGCTGCATTTATATAAACCACAGGTGTCAAACTCAGGACAGGTGTTCCTTGAGGACCACAGCTCTGCACAGCTTAGTTTCTACCCTAATTAAACCCCCCTGATCATAATACTTGAGTCCTTCAGGCTTGATTGAATCCTACAGGTGAGAATGCCAAAGCAGAGATGAAAATAAACTGTGCAGTGTGAGTTTAATGTAATGTAATGTAGTGTATTTATTATTTTATGCCATGTCAACAACCAAGGCTATCTTCATGGCAAGAACATTTATATATTTAATATACAATTTAAAATCAACAAAAAAATGAATACATAAATTAAATAAGATTTTTAGCGCCAATACATGATAAAAATTCAAAACATTTTCCTGGGGTAACTTTGCTAAAAATGTCTTTAAGAGAGTTAATTTCATAAAAAAGGTCTTCTGGAATCATTAAAAGCAGGACAGTTCAGTAAAATGTGTTTCACTGTAAGAGGAATTGTGCAGTACAAACACTGAGTAGGGTCTTCGCGCATGAGCAAGAAAAAAAAAACATTAACTGAGTTTGACTACCCTGATTTAAACAAAAATACAATAAAAGCAGTTAAATTGTGAAATATATATTTAAATGTATTTCAGTTTCTATTTAAGTATATTGTATAATATAATTTTTTTGAAGTTTATTTTTCCAAATAAATGCTGCTATTTTAAAATGTCTGTTTGTTTATCAAGCAATTATGAAAAGTAGACTATAAATACTGACGATGACAAGTACTACTACTACAAATAATAATAATAAGCACTTAGCAATTATAAAAAGTAGGCTATGAATACTGACTTTGACGAGTACTACTACTACTACTACTAATAATAATAATAATAATAATAAGCACTAAGCAATTATGAAAAGTAGACTATAAGTACTACTGACTACGACTACTAATTAGCAATTATGAAAAGTAGACTATATATACTACTGACTACGACGATGACTACTAATGAGCAATAAGCAATTATGAAAAGTAGACTATAAACAACACCGACTACGATCACGACTACAAATGAGCAATAAGCAATTATGAAAAGTAGACTATAAATAATACTGAGGATGACGACTACTACTAAGCAATAAGCAATAATAAAAAGCAGACTAAATACTTCTGACTTTGACGATGCCTACTAATACTAATACTTATAATAATGACAACGATCAAGCAATTATGAAAAGTAGAAACAAAAATACTATTGACTATGCCGCCACTGCAGACTACTACGACGATGAAGACTACCACTACTACTACTAGTAATAGTAGTAGTAATACTAGTAATAGTAGTAGTACTAATAATAACAACAACAACAACTGATCGTAACAGAGCAGCAAACCAGCCAAATAAACAATGGAGACTGGAATAATGATGCTGAAAAATGAGCTTTGCATCGTTAAAATAAATGACATTACACTATATAATAAAACAGAAAACATAACTTCTGTAATGAAGATCATTTGTCAGAAAATTACTGCTCATTGATATTACTGTCAGATAAGCTGATTCTACGTACAGTTTTCACAGTTGCTGAAGTCTCCAAATATGTAGTAGCACTGTTCAGAGAAGGTGATCTTGTTGACAGTGTGCCTGATGAAACCAGCCTTTAGTAAGTTACTGGCATATTTCCGAGCTTCGCGTCTGTCCTGAAAGCCATCAATGTGATGGTACAACCACTCCACCACATCTGAACCTGCATCCACAATCAGAAAACCACAGATAAACATACATGAGATCAGAATAAACGCTCGTCAGTTACATACTCATCAATAATAATAATTGCACAGGTCTCTGACCCAGAAAAGCATTGGGAATGGTGATCTTCAGCCACATTCGATCTCTGACTTCTAGACCGGACTCTGGAGATGCCATGGCTTTAGCGACCGAGGCCATGTCTGAGCGAAGAGACAGGTTAAACTCATCAAAGCCTACGGACAGAAACAGAGGATTAGTGATGGGACTAGGAGGTGGAGAAGCAGACTAAATAAGCACAATATTTACGTTCGGTTTCGGTGACGGATGAGCTGGATGTGATTGTGCTGCTGGGATAGGACGGAAACGCCCCTGTCAGAGCCACTGAGTGATTGACCCAAGCTGCTGGGTCTATGGGCCGGATTGGCTCATCTGATGAAGAAAACAGTCAAGAATGTTAGAGAGAATATTTGGTAACACTTTAGTTTAGGTCACAATGCACTGTATTAACAAACCATTAACTAACACTACTAGCTTAATAAACTACTTATTAGCTGTTTGTTAATAGTCAGTAAGGAAGACGAAATTTGACAAACACATCAGTACTGTCATAAAATCCTGCTTTTACCATCTCAGACTGTCTACAGTCAAGCCTTTATTATCCCAGAGAAATTTCCAAACAGTGAGTCATGCTTTTATAACATACACTCGTCTGGATTACTGTAACTTTCTCTATTATGCTATTTCTCAGTCTTTTCTCTCTTGTCAGCAGCTGGTTTAAAACGTGGCTGCTAGACTACTCTCTGGCACCCGCCAGTAACTCCTATTTTATCTGCACTTCACTGGTTACCCATTAAATACAGAATTGATTTTAAAATTGTATTATTTGTATACAAAGCCGTCAACATTCTTGCTTCTCAGTACCTTACAGACTTGCTCTGTCTGTATTCCCCCTCTCAATCATTGAGATCTTATGATCTCAATTTACTCTCCGTGCCTAGAACACTCTTTAAAAAACAAGATGACCGAGCATTTGCAGTTGCTGGTCCTAAACTCTGAAACACTCTGCCAAGTCAAATGAGACTTTCCTCCTCAATCTCTGTGTTTAGGTCCATTTTAAAGACCTATCTATTTTCTCTCGCTTTTAATTACTTATTATTTTTAATTAATCAATAATTATTAAATGTTTTCTTTTATATTCTGTTTTCTTCTGTCTTCAGTACTTCTATGTACAGCACTTTGGTCAACTTTGGTTGTTTTTAAATGCGCTTTATAAATAAATATTGTATTGAATTACTCTATTGCATTGTATAGCAGCTGGATTTAGGTTTTGGGTAGGATTAGGGATGCAGAATAAGATCATACTTTATAACAACTAATGAACAGTTGATATATTAATTACAGGCAGGTAATAAGCCAGTAGTAAACAGCATGAATTGTGTCCTTAATTAAAACGTTATAGAATATTTAAGATATCAACAATAAAACAAAACAATTATTTTGTCATTTAACTACATTAACAAAAATGTTTGTTGATGGCAGGGGTTTTATGGATTTGAAAGAATTCTTTAATTATGAAAAGGAACTAATTGCAATCTAAATATTTATTTAATATGAAATACAAAGAAATTAGTAATACTGTCAAATATTTATCACAATCCAAATTAATGTTTGCTAGTTAAATATATTTAAAATGTATGAACCCTTATAATGCATTTAAATTGTGTATTTATTTGTTACATTTCTTTGTCGTTTTATGAAAAATCTAAGTTTTTTTCCCCAACGAAAACTGCACCATGTTTCTTATAAACAGCTCATTTTACTTGCATAAACAATTGCTTTCCTTCTTTAATGGTTTGTGGATAAGCTTAAATATTAATAATGCTAAAAAAAGCATGTTACATTTTTGACATGTACAGTTATTTCATATATACAATACCCAATTCAAAATGACCTACATTTAAAACAGAATTGCAAAAAATAAAATGAGGGAAAAAATACAGGGTTCCCTTGCTTTCGTGAACAAAAACTTTTAATGACCTTTTAAAGCACCATTCAGTTCAAATCAAACACCTTGGTAATTCATTTCCCAGCATATGTATAGTGTCATGAAAGTCCTTACGGTACTTAACATTTCACAGTTATTTTCAAAAATTTTAACCATTTTAAAATGTCTTAACTTTAAGATTTAAATTTAAGATTTATGATTAAAAAATTTCTTAGTTTTTTTAGTTCTGTTTTTGACAACTGAGTACAAATTAAAATTTTTATTAAATTCAAGCACTTTCATGGTGTTTGTTTATGTGTGTGTGTGTGTGTGTGTGTGTGTGTGTGTGTGTGTGTGTGTGTGTGTGTGTGTGTGTGTGTGTGTGTGTGTGTGTGTGTGTGTGTGTGTGTGTCTAGATATATATAAATATATAGTGTATCAAGTATTTATTACAGAGATTAAAATGCAACTCACTGCGTGGCAGGGTGAAATACCCTTGTGGAGAAGGGTCCCAACATTTGGCCACAGTTAGGGTGATGGGTCTAAAAGGATTGAAGTGACAATACAACATTGTAGGTTACAGATTTCTATTTACAAATGTATTTTTTCCCAATCATAATCTGCCACACTCTGTAGTTCTACTGTAAACCTTGCTGCGAGTCAGAATGATTGGATTTACAAAAACATTAGTGGGATCCCAAAAGGACCAATTTTCTGAGCCTTAATTAATTGCAAAAACGCTTAGATGTGATAAAACACACAGCTAAATCTCTATATAAACCAATAGGTATTTCGTTTGTGCTTCATTTTGTTGTACTAGTAGAGCTGGGTGGTATGATGGTATTATTTCCTTTATTAACCAGGAGATCACATTGAGACATATATATATATATATACATATACATACATATATATATATATAGCTATCGTGGAATGAAATGTGTACTACCATAAGCAACTTTTTTTTTTTTATTCCGGATATATGTAAATAAGTGGGTATGGCCAACTCACATGCAGTTTGAGTGAGGCTGAGAAAGACACTCCATAGGAGGATACTAGGCATGGGACAATAATCGGTTTCAAGGTTTGCCGCAATTTGGAAAAAAATGAAGGTTTTAAAACCGCCAAAATTTTGTACTATAACGTTCCCAAGGTATACGTAAAGAATTTTTTTTTTTTACATGTTATTTTACATGTACAACTATTTTATTTCGTTTTTTACGGCAACCACACCTTCAGCAGAAAAGAAACCTCTACATCAAAAGCTACTGGTTCAAAATATTTAAATGTTTCCTAAATTAAAATATATTGTGTTCAATGGGGGGAAAGTTGTTGTTTTTTAGCCAGACTTAAAAAAAGAAGTAATTTTGGAGCAGTAATTACAATACGATGATAGCGACCCATGCTTAGAGGAGACTGGCATTTTTGCGATTTGTTTTTAAGTAATGATCACTTAGTTTAAATATGTACACAAGAACTAAAATTCTTCATATATTGTATTTTTTAAGAAAAAAAAGTTGTTTTAATATATTTATATATTAATATTTTAAAATATTTGTATATGTTAAAAATAATAAGGTCTTTCCACATAAAAGTGTGAAATGTAACATACAGTGGAATTGGTTGTTCATCTAAAGTCATATTTTGTTTAGTATAATGTTAAAAATAAAATACAAAATCAAATCAAATAAGATCAAGTCATTTTCTTTTCTTAAATATCCAATCTTATGTACTAAATAAAGCCCTATTGTACATTTTCTGGAAAAACTGACTTAAAAAAAAAGCTATATCCTGAAAGACATTGTAACTATGAAATAAACTTTCTCATAAACTTTCTCATACTGTGAAATAAAATTTTGATCATACCGTCCAGCCCTATGTACTAGCAATAAAAATATGTCCCCAAAAGAACATACCAAAAAGTAAATAGGAGATTGTACATTTTTTAAATAGAGAACTTATGAGGACTCAAATGCAATTTTAATAGGCTCACCCAGGTTTGTGGACAATCTCACGCAGCACCCGGACCGCATCATCATTACTCATGTTCTCAAAGTTTATATCATTCACCTGCACAGAAAAAAAAACAACATCAACAGTCAATCAATCAGTTTAACAGACATTAAGACAGACGTAAATCTGCCCTGCAGCAGTGAAAGTACTAATCTTTTGTTTACAGGTAATTACTAGTAAAAGAATCGCAATGTTCGGGTGTAGCTGAAGTACATGCCGTCGAATAAACTACCAAGCTATTGAAGAATAACAGGAATTAAAACCACATTTACGTCAGTCACCAGATCGTCCGGTCCTCCATCTTGTACATATGATGACAGGTTGCACTAATCATTTTTTCTTCTTATAAAATGTACACACACACCTGCAGCAGCATGTCTCCAGGCTCAATACGTCCATCTGCAGCTACAGCTCCTCCCTTCATAATGGAGCCAATGTAGATTCCTCCATCTCCTCTCTCATTGCTCTGACCCACGATACTGATGCCCAAGAAATTATACTTCTCTATAGAGTACAACAAACAGATGGAGGACAGATTATGAATTAAACACAACTCATATTTAATTAAAAGTAGGAAAACGCATGCCATATTAAAAGACAATATGACAGAGCTGGTATCAATCTATATAAGCCACTGACCCATGTTAAGAGTGACTGTAATAATGTTGAGGGACATGGTTGAATCAGTCACACTGCTGAAAGAGGAAGCCTATAAAGCAAAACACACAACATTTCAGTAAAAGTGAGTATAATGTCTGCTTTTCATTTATTTGAATCACTTTCAGATGAAAAACAAAGTGATCAGAATTTCTTGCAGCAATTGTTTATTGATTAGCATACAAAGCATGTCAGGAACAAAATGAAGTCCCAAAAAGTGTTTGATATAATTTTGTAGTTTATTTGACAACAATATGATCACTTCTTAACTCAAGACTTATACTTAGGGTTTGACATAAACACCCGACAAATGTGAGTAGACTTCACCTGTGGCAGGTTAGACAGACATCCTCACTGGCCACTTTGGCTGGTCGCTAATATTTTTTTAAATTGCCAGAGCTGCCTTATCACTAAAGATTAGAATTTTAGTTTTAGGGCGTAAACACTATGTACAATTGCCTTGAACCGAGCCAAAGCATGCTTGTTCCTCTCCCGTCTCCCCTGGGATCTCCGCAACAGTTTGCATTAATTGAAAAGTAAGAATGATAAATAAATCATATGAAACAGTTCTTTTAAAAGTCACGGCTTGCTTTCAGTTTCGGGCTTAGGCGCGTTTTGCCCTCAAGAATACCGCGCCAAAGCCCAGGTGAACCGTGCCTGAACCAGATTCAGAGCACTCTCACTTCTCAAACGATCCGGGAAACAGGCCTGGGCATGGTTTCAATAGCATAGTGCAAGTGCGCCCTAGGACTGTTTGTAAAAATGTGCGCAAACGTGCTGTAAGAATTGAAAAGCGGCACGACTGATGAGTGTTCACGCGAGCAAAAGAAAGCAGGTGAATACCGGAGAGGAGAATGATCAGACACACGGTGAAACACAGGCGATCCTCGCTCACTGATGACAGTGTCAAATGCACAGATGATGTGCTAATGTGATGTGTACGAGTGATTAAAAGCTCCCTTATCCCGTTTCCTTGCGCAAAGCAACCATGCCTGGAAACCCAACTGGTGTGATCGTTTTTCTTTGACATAAGACTGGGGGGAAAAAAAGCAGTGTCCTGCTACTTTCGAGAGCTTGAGATTTTTGTAGACAGCGACGGTTGCCGCTTTCACTTTAATCATTCTTTGAACAGATTATTAATAAGCCTAACGTTAACCATGTGTGCGTGATTATCCTTTCATTATATTTTTAAAGGCTTTCGTTTGCTTCGTTTTTGTTTATGATGTTTAATAATTATCCTTTACAATAACATTTCTCTAATAGGAGATTAACACTATTTATCAAATGTTAACTAGTGATCTGGGACCTTTAGCCAGGACAGACAACTGTGTATAGTTCTAGATACATGAGAATATTTTTTTTTTTATGTCAATTTTTTTTGTTGTTGTTTAATAAAAAGTAATATTTTGCTTGTTTTGACCCATTTTTTAAAATTTGTGGCAAGGAAATAATTAGTTTGGTGTGGCTAGAGGGGAAAAAAGGTAAATCCTTAGTGTTGAGCCCTAAAAAGTCTAATAAAACTAATTGCAATTTGACACTATGAAACCAAAATCCATTTGCTCATGCTCATTGATCAAGGTCAAAACACACAAAAAGTTAAATGACTGAGGAGGCATATGGACATAACACAAGATTTAAATCAAGTAATTTTAGGATGCCAAAGTCAAATTTATGCATATAAAATATATTTTCAAAAAACAAAACTGTGGCTAGTGAAAATGAAAAGCGGCTATTAACGATGGAAACTACTAGCCACAGTGGCTGGTGATCAAATAAGTTAATGTCAAGCCCTGCTTTTATTTATATATTCAAACACACCTACATGGAGCACTTCATATATGATAAACACTAAATAGTTTGGATTAAGAACAACTGTAAGGTTAAAGGGGTAGTTCACCCAAAAATGAACATTTCCTCACTCACTTTGTTTTAAACTTTTATGAATTTCTTTTTCAGGGTTCCCATACGTCATGTCATGTCACATGTCATGAACAGCAGATTCAAGGACTTTCAAAAGCACCATTATTTTATATCAAGCAAACTTTGCATATCATACCCCAGCATATGTAGCGGCATGAAAGCCCTTACTGTACTGAATATTTCATTTAATCTATATATATATATATATATATAATATGTACGTTAAAATGTCAAGAGTAAATTTCATAAATGTTCTGACTTTTATAAATGGTCATGTTCCAACAAAATTTAATACAATTTGTTTAATTCAATACTGGTAATCATTTTATTTATAATATTAAAAAAGTTCATTATTTGTCAGTGTTATTGTAAAAAAAAAATTATTTAAAAAAATAATAATTTATGAATTTATTTGAAAATTGAGTATAACTGTTGAAATAAAACCATAAATCAATTTTAATACAAATTTACTTCAAGCACTTTCACATGTCTAAAATTCATTCTAAAAAGTACTTTCAAGTAGCGTGGGAACCCTGCTTGCTTCTGTACAAAATAAGATATTTTGAAAAATACTGAAAATAGTAGACACAGTCATCCATAGGAGAAACCAAAAGTAATCTGGAAGTCAAAGGCTGTTTTTACCAACATTTCTCAGTATATTTTCTACAAACAGGTTTGTAACAAACGGAGGATGGGAAAATGATAGACTTGACATTTGTTAATCACATAGGTGTATCTCACCCTCTCCAGTCGTGGCCGCTGTTTCCGGCGTCTTCGGTGGCGTTTGAGCAATCTAGATGCTGTGCTCTGTTCAGTGGAGCTGCTGAACCTGATCACAAACATTTAGCACAATAAACATTCAGAATTAATGCACAACCTAAAACACTAGATTCTCAATGGCTTTTGGTTCAGGATCCAGACTCTATTATAATACACACCAAGTGGCAAAGCAGCATCCAACAAATTAAACCGATTGGCTAGCTAAATATTTGTTTGTCTATTGCATGTTTATCTTCTTACAAATAAGTGTCTATTTTTTTCTTCACTATTGTAATAATGCATATCTAACTGAGAGTGGGAGTTCTGAATTTATTGCCAAATCAGCTTCTCTAGCTATAATGACAAAACCAGGGGTCTGCTCTTCGTACCTCATTTAAATGATCAAAGATGTTTTGGCAGATCCTGGATCTTTTAATCTTGATAACTGATCTCTGTCTTCTTCAAGCAAGATCACGAATCATATTAAAATTTCTTGATGAATTAATCTGAGATTTCTGCGTGTGTTGTGAGAGATGGATCTATTGATCCTCGAAGTCATGATCAGCAGTGCAACAATTAGCTGACAGCACAGCAGCGTAATGACATCATCTGATTAATATTCAATTACCCATGTGAGCAAAATTACATAATATTCGTAGTAAACAGTTTGTTGAATTTGATCTGCAATAACTTTCCAGCTTTGTTATAAGCTGCAGGCTTTACACTTTCTTGTGTCAAGAGTGTTTAGCAATTTATTTAGTTTTACATTAGAGCAGATTTTCTTTATTATAGTAGTCATAGTACTAATACATTTGCTATTTTCACAAGTGTACATAACTAATAATGTAAGAAAATATCAGAATTTCAGTATTATCTTTGCTTGAACTGACCCATTTTAATCCTGTTTATATGAAATGATCCTGCTCCTGAGCAGGTTTGAGCTACCAGAGCTGTTGCCATGTCAACAACTCTCGAGTGAGTTTTGAAGAACGAAACAATCCTGAATCATGTCAAATAGTAAATAACCAAATCCAGCTAACTGTGTAATCCACGTACGAAAAACGGTACCCCTGATCAAATTTATTACATTTTCTAAATATCACTTTTCTATAATGATAAGGAATGATAACAATAAAAAAGACATCAATAGCAATAAACAATACATAAGATAAAATACAAAAGAAGAATATATATAACAGTTTTTAAGGTTTACGTTTGATAAAATTATTTTACAATTTTATAAGGATTCACGTTACAAAAGTTTCATTTAAAGTCTCTCCAGATAAAAATGGTTGTCTGATAACATTAAAAATAGGGAACTCCACAAGTATTGGTTTAACAGTTTGGTTTCTGTTGCAATATTGACATTTTGGGGTTCTTCTCCTTTAAGTAAATGTCCATGAGTGAGGTTTGTGTGTCTGATATGGCATCTTGTGTGAACCATATTTAAGTGAAAACGGTTTCTTAAAAAATGTTGAGCAGAATTTAATTTTGTTTTTCTAGAACTGACTGGATTGTTGTGGTTTGATATTGCTGTGGTATAATTTGAGTGACAGGCTATTGTTCCGCCCTACTGCTGAATATAAATCAGCTAAATTAATTTTTAAACAAGGCAAACTGCAAGCACATGCAAACAATTCATGACAAATACAGTCAAATTGCATAAATATGAGGTGAATTTAAAAAAAAAAGCTGATTTTGATTTTAATCTAACTTTAATCCAATCTGGGGCAAAATATTACCAAAATATAAAAGATTGCTCAAAAATCAAACTAAAAGTGCTTCAGGGGTAATGAATGTGTCAGTGCTCTTTGGGTAAGGTATTCATAAAGATAAACATCGAAATCATAAGTCCAAAAGTATGTGAAATTGTTTTCAAAAGACTTTATTAACAAGGCTATTCTATAAAACAGCAGCTACACATTTCGGCAATATAGGCCTCAATAAAATAGGTTTTAATAAAGGCTTTTTACATTTTTTACTTTTCAAATCCCTTGGACTTATGATAAAACATTTTGGTATATAAATTTTATTCTGATACGTTGCATTCAGGGGCTGGTTTTCAATGAAAAGTACAACATGTTTCTATGATTTAAACAACAGTGCTTTAGGAGCACAAAAAATGCAAATTGGTTCAAATTTTTAAAGGTTATACTTGAAAAAGAAATTTGACATCACAAAATGTCTTCTGACCTGCTCATGGTATCATCGTCATCAGAGTCACAAAAACTTGTGGTGTCCAGTTCACTGCTCATCACTGTAGTAGCGCTCTCATATCCGGCCAGGTGTCTGTCCAAACGGGACTGTCCATTCATACGGGGCCCTAGGTCAAAAAAAGATCCAGCAAAATGAACACGGACTGCAACAAAAGCTCTCAAAAAGAATTATGTAACGTCAAACAAACGAGATGAAACATACCATGTTGCTCCAAGCTCTCTCTGGGTCGAGGTCTCTCTCTCCTGAAAGACACGACTGACTCCGTCTCTGTCTGATCATCTAAAGACTCCAGGCTGCCTGTGGTGTTGGGACTACACACACACACACACACACACACACACACAATACAATTACAGTGATTTACATTCAAGACACATCTGTACATCTTTGCATGCTGAGAGATCTTTAAATTTTTAAAAGCCAGCTGTCTTTAGCAAGCCAGTCTCTGATACAACACATAGTTAGAGAAGGCTACACCGGATGAAACGAATATCACCTCCATAACCAAAAGACTTGTTTTTAGTAACAAAATATATGGCTCTTAATTCTTAAATTAGTTCAATTTAAACTAAAAGCCTACCTCCGTTTAGAGAGTCACAGGCAATTCAATATTACTACATTGTCTTGCTTCATCATTGATTAGATTTAAACAGAAGCACTAAGGAATAATATCATTTAAAACAACCCTTTTACAATTAACCAATGTTGAACTGTCATTTTTACCCTTTCATAAAGTGACACAGAATTTTAGAAAAGTGTTTGTGTCTTCTTTCAAAGCATATCTTTTAAGGGTACCCATTTTTGAACTGAACAACACATGATCCTTCCTCTGCTCCTTAAAATTTAAAGTTCATTATTTGTGACTGGAAAAAAATAGAAATAATATTCAGTATTTACAGTAATCCTTGCACTATTCAAGAGCAATATTGATTCATTATGTATTGCCTTTAATAATTTATAACTTACAAAATAGAGGTCACCGTTTACATGTATTTTAAAAATCATCAAAAAGCAAAAAATAAATAATTAAATGAACAAATATTATTGAATGCTTATTGGTAAAGAAAGCATCGTCTATATTTTACAGCTAATTATCTTATAGCATCTATTTTATCTAACAAAACCTTTTTATTACTTTGAATAAACTTTTACTACAGATTCATAGTTTGGTAGGTGTGAAGAAAAACATCTATACAGTATAGTATCGCAATATTTTCTGTTGCATTACTATACTGATACACTGACACCCATATCAAGATACCACCAATATTTTATTATAGTATTTGGTTTATTCATAAAATTATTTTCTTTTACAGTCCACTAGGTATTAATTTTGTTGTACTTGTACACATTCATCAAGCAATTAGTTAGTCAAATAAAGATGCCTCATCTTGGAAGGCATTGTGGAAAAGTGCATACAACAATTAAGACAGTTTTTTCATTAAAGTGTTGCTCAATCTGTCGGCTTAACAATGCCATATTGCACTGCAGCAATAAAAATTCTGAAAAATGTTTTGGTTTATTATGCACACAACTCTCTGACGCCCCTATTGTGTTCATGTGACGTTTCAGCTCAAAACACCCCACAAACAATTTCAAACTCTTAGAAACTGCCCAATTTAAGCTTTGATCCAAATTGCGCCATTTTGTTATTGCTTTAAATTCAAATGAGATTGTAGTCTTTTTCAAGAGAGGGTGGAGCTACACTACCCGAAAAAAGTTTGGGGTTGTTTTTTTTTTTTTAAATGGTTCTGTTCATCAAGGCGGTATTTATTAAATGTCAAAAAAAAAATTTAAATTGATAAATAATTATATATGACTTATTGTATGTATTTTCAAACGAAATTATTGCTCCAGTCATTATTGCTTTTATTACTATTTCCATTAATAATAGTTTTGTTATTAATAATAAAAATAATAATAATAATTGATATTAGAGTGATTTTATAAGAATCATGTGACTTTGAAGACTGGAGTTATGAAGCTTAAAATTCTACTTTTAAATCACTGGAATAAATGATTAAATTAAATGATAAACTACTTTTGAACAGTTATTTTAATAGTGCAATAACAGTTTACAAAAATTTTACATTTTAACATTTTACAATACTCACAAATGCAGCTTCAGGGAAAGCCGTAAGATTGGTCCAATTGAAGAATACTTTCATAATATTACAAACTCGAAAAAAGTATACCTTCATACAGTAACCACATAATGAGATTCACAGTAACGTACTGGAAAGAAGGAGGTCTGGAGTCTCCAATGCCCGCCATCCTCTCAGCAGGAGGTGGAGGCAGGGGTGGAGGAGGAGGTGAGGGCTGAGACGGGACCTCTACTGGAGGAGCTACAGGCTCTGCTGCAGGGGTATCCGAGGACACCAGCTAACAGACACACACACACACACACAGTGAGAAAAAGAGAGAAAATGATCCATTAAAAACAAGCAACTAAAAAGGAAAAGATCTAATGACAGTAATAACACAAATTATATTGTCCCCATCACATACTCTTGGAGCTCATTGAAGAAGGTAAAACTGATCGCGCATTGCTTCAGGTCAAACATATCAAGTGTCTGAGTTTTACGTAACTACAAATTAAATCAACAACACCGAGCTGGAGACGTAACGCAGACAAGAAACTCTATTCAGGCTTGTCTGGAGCTCAAACAGAAATGCGAAGGAAATGTTTTCTTCACGGGAGAAGGAAAAAAAACCCATCAACAATCTTCCCAATCTCAGTACGGTACAGTGTTAAAGTTCAAGTCGTGTACTTGACAAGAGAAAGAAACCTCAGCAGTGTCATAACAGGCTGCGTACGGTATCATTGCATGGCCTTTCTTCATGCTAATGTATGCTGGGTTATTGTAGCCACTCTCTCAGGAGACCTGGAGCCATCGTGACGGTGGTCTACTGTTTCCATCCCAGAGGCTCTAGTTTCGTCCAGGCCTTTTGACTTAAGCACCTGCCTTTCTTTGAGGGCTTTTAGATGAGGCTGGATTTCAGTCTCCGTGTGAAGCGCTTCACACAAACACACACATTTAGGATTCTTTAAAGATTCACTGTGACATGAATCACAATAGGCCTGTTAAGCATCACTACTGTACAAGTTAAGGTACTGATCAAAATTACATCTCAAAATATGATAATTTTGGTCATGAGAATTAACTACATGAGAATTAGCCTTCTTTTCAATAAATTTGCCCATAATGTATTGTTAGGTTTGTCTTTGTGTCAAAATGTGTCAAAACTGTTACCCAAAAATCATTCTATTTGCTAAAACAGAAAAAGTTGTGGCCAAATCAAGACTCAACAGATCCCTATATAGTGGATGAAAACGTCCCCAACATAACATTACCTCCGCTAACAAGGATTAAAGTTTTAATTGCTTTCATTGATTCAACGTGATTAATAATCCCACAACTGTGGAATCACCTTATAGAAAGATTTATTTCAAACACTCAACTGTTATAAATTTATGAAGTGAGGTTAGAGTAAAGTTTGTCAGTAAATGTGGGATTTTAACATGCTTTCAGATGTAGCAGTAGTTCACTAAGAACCTAAGCGAAGCTGCCATTATCGCAGAATGTTTTCATAATCGCCTGAATAAATTATATGCAATTATGAATGTGACTTTGGGCAGTTTGTCAGTAAACTATGGCTCTGTGTAGTAAATGTTGCTCCATCTGAAAGCATGTGCTAGAGACATGCTCCGCTGACAAAATGAGCACACTATCACCTTCAATTAATCGTGCACGTCTAACTAAAACCACCAGTAGGTGGATACACTTGTGTGATTTACTGATTAATGTATTCAAATGATCTGTTCAAAACTGCTGATTCATTTAGAAACTGAAGCAAGGCACACACTGGAAGATAATCAAGCCAATATTAGGCCTGATTTTCCATTCTGACGATCCTAGATCCTGATTATCTTCATGATTATCTATTCTCTAAATGATCATATCAGATGTTCCTCCTGAGTGAGGTTATGAGTGGTTGAATCTGCTCTAAAGAGAGCAAAGCAGAAATGTAATTTTTAAAAATGTGTCTGAAGTGTTGATTGCCTTTTTTTTAACTGTGTATAAAATTATTCTGAAATTTGCAAACACATGCTGACATTTTATGTGACATTCTTTGCTTTGATAACTTTATAGAGGAATTTTGACACAGCAAAGGCATCACAGAAACTAAAGCTGACATTGCATAAAACCACAGCAATAACACAGTCAGTTTATTGTGGTTCTAAAGTGCTATAAATGTATTTTCACCGGAATTAAAATGATGGAAACGATACCTCTTAAAATAAACAGTACAATTATAAAATTAGTTTTCACAAAAACAAATGCTTTTTTTTATTAAATAACTGTTATTATATATAACAGTAAATAAAAACAAACATTTTATAATGACATTCAATTTGAAGTATATGCTATCGTTCACTGGACAGTTTGTTCGGACATTAAAAGGCAAATTCTCTGAAAAAAAAAGTAGAGCCGACATCAACAAATGGAAGGACAGAGTAAGGAAAGATTAGAGGAATGCTGGGAAACCATATTTGAATCAAAGAGGAGAACAAAAACCAGGGAAAAATCCACCGAAAAAGGCGAGTGGAACAATTTAAAATATTATAATAATCTTGAAAAATATGCCTAATATTAGCCTGAAGTTTCTGTTACAGTATTAAAAGTAAAATAAAGAAATCAGATCTTTATCCATTGATGCGATCAAAGACCTGTGAAGAAATTATGCCAAGATATCCATAATCCTAGACCAGGCCGTATCCTGAGCAGATGTTGTGGTGGTCAGGGAGGAGGGGGGTGAATGAGACTGATTCTTGAAAGACCACAGTGACAGACGAGTCCCTGCACTGATCCTGTGGGCCAGCCTGATCACCCCCCGGTGACCTACTCGCATCTGCAGTTCTCCACGATGGACATCCAGCGTTCTCAAGCCTCCGGCACCTACACTACAGCTCCACACAGTAAGTTTGGCCAGATGAAAAAAGGTTGTGCCCAAACAAGTTTGTTCCTCGCCGCTGTCGCCACTGGCTTGCTTGGTTTGGGACTAATAGAGATGCACATCGATGGATTTGTTCTTCAGTGTTTGGACGTTCAGCAGTGAAATTTAAAACAACAATGAACTGAACTAAACTGAACTTCAACTCTGAAATCTGGACTTTACTAGCACTTTATGTTAAGCTGCTTTGACACAATCTACATTGTAAAAAGTGCTATATAAATAAACAGGAATTGAATTGAAAACATGAATCTTTAGTGGTTTAAAGTGATGTGATGAATTGGAGTTATACTGACCACAATAACTGGACGTATTCTGTTTTTCCACATTTGAGAAATGTAAATCACAATAAAATGCTGACACTAAAAATGTTATCTCCTTAGAATTGAGAAGTGTTTGTTGTCTATCTTCAAGTAAAATAAAAATATACAATATAATGTTCAAATGAAAAAATATTGGACTTAAATGGTTCTTTGTCTCAAGGCCTCAAATGTAATGTTTTCAATTTATTTCTGAAGTATATTAAAAATATATATATACAAAGACATTAATGATAACAAACAAAATCAATAAATATTTAACTTAAAAAAGATTTAGGGCCTAAAGTAGCCTAATGTGTTTAACTTCATTCTTGAGAGTATTGAGATATTTGTGCATTCATCAGCTTGAATGTATAGCTAAAGTCGTTTATTTACAAGGCACAGAATTGTGTCAACATTAATCATAATATAACCACAGTCTATTTGGTCTTTATATAAGAAGTTTGAATGAATTATGCCCTATTTAAATGAAATAGTCTACGTGACCGGGCTTGTTTTGCAACTAAAGCTTGAATAATGCGCATCTCCTTATTTATAAGCAAAAACATTTAAGGCTTTTGAGTTTGGCCCTAACCTGCATCTTATCTCTCTGCACACCGTGAAGTTAAGGTAAAAGCCTAGAAACACATTTGCATTCCTGACATTTGTTTTTCTTCCTCTGCTTTTATTAAAATAAGCCTTTTTTTACTTTTTGCCTGACCAGATATTCCCCCTATTACTAGTTTGATTTTTAAATTAACAATAGCTAAAACAAACAACTTACTTATATTGTAGGCAACATATTTTTTTTGCTTGAACATACAGGTGTCATTTGGGTGGTAATGACTGATCAGAACAGCGCTGTTTAACATTTCATTTACACTGAAACTAAACATTAGTTTGCCTTTGATACCAGAGAATGAGGTGGGTCAAACCCAGCGTATTTTAGGTCTGCTTTTATATGACAGAGCATCATTACACTGAATTCTAAGGAGAAACAGAGCCAATTTAGGGATGCCTTAAATCAGCTGTGTCGGACTACAGATTGAAAAAAAGTTGCAGGTTCGAGTCCCAGCACCAGCAGAGATTGTAGGTGTTAGGAGTGAACACGATCCACAATTCATCTAGAGTGCATTTTTGCAAAGTTTCAATGTTTGCACAGTTATGACACTACTGGGTATCTCTCAATAAAACGTTCATTGTTTAGGGAAAAACATCCAAGTGACAGAGAAAACAGGAACAGTTCTTACCCAGGAGACAACTCTTCCGTTGAAGCATGGCAGCTTGGCACTGTCATCTGAGATCTCTTCCTTCACCACCCTGAGACACAATTATCAAAGCGAAACAGAATTAATATTAAAAAAACACACATTTGACAGGCATGATTATACCAATTTTCAAATCCAAAATGAGGAGGCCACTCGTAAATTCACAATTTATAGTTTTTACATTTTTTTTCAATTTATACAGTATATTTGTTTGTTTTTCTTAGAGCATTAACATTGAAAGAATGGCTATGCTTATATTCATATTTAGACAAAACAATGGCAATGTTTTTAATTCAGAAAAAGTATTTTTCATTCCTTTTAAGAGAAATAGCACACATCTCGTCCACAAGCCATTAAACCTGAGGGCTCATAAATATATATATATATATATATATATATATATATATATATATATATATATATATATATATATATATGTTTGTTTTTTCTGTTGACTAATAATGCCAGTATTTTTTTTTACCCACATTTATCTTTACCAATGCAGTTTTATATGGGTTTGAAATATTATTATGCTTGTTAATAGTCAACTTTTCTTTATATAAAAAGGCAAGCTGGAAAACTATGAACTTTGCACAAAATTGCTGAAAATGATGTCATTAAGTGCAACGAATACACTACCTATGAATAATTTACAGTCAGGAAAAATTCTTAAAATAATTAATACTTATAAATATCAAATTGATTCTTTATGAATAAAATACAAAATATTTCTATTACAAAAAATCCTGAAAACCCATTTGATTCTGTTCATACAGTAATAGAGAACATACATCACTTCTTACAAAAGTATCCAAGGCTCATCACAAGTATCTAGTTAGCTAGCTAAATAACATTATCTTGTTAAAGATTCAGCAGAATTCCCACCGCCATAATAATGCAGAATACAGACAGCACAGAATGATCTTGTGTCATAAAAACAAATGCACAAACCCAGCGGATGTGAAATGTTCAGCATGCAACAATGGCCTGAACAGGGTAAGTGACAGTTCTGTTGACCAGCCAGAAGCCAACTGAGCACTAATAATAATTAGAGTGTGGGGCATAAATATGAACATATTTCAGCAAAATTAATAGTGATGTATGTCTAAGGAACCACCACTGTTAACTCTTATAATAATACGTGGTATATGCAGAAATCAGAGAGTGAAATTCAATATCTTTAAAGACCTTTTTAAAGAGTTTTTTGATTTACATAGCTTCAGAGAATTAAAAAAAAAACTTGACATATTCATGATTAATGTTATGATAGCTGTTTCAACGTAAAGTTCTGATTGGATTGCCTTTAGTTTGACAATAAACAGGAAATGTTCATGACGCAATGGCATCACCACATTCAAATGGTCTATACCAGTGGATCTCAAACTTTTTTACTAAGTACCACCTCAGAAAAAAATTGTCTCACCAAGTACCACCATAATGAGCAGTATTAAAATACAGTAGTGTAGTAGGCCCAATAAAGTAGCTACAGCTCTGTACAGGTCAAACACATGGAAGATTAATTCCTATTATTAAGAATATGTATTATTATCAGCCACTTTAAAACATTACAGTATAAATGCTTTAAACATTAAGACTATTATACTTTGCTTATATGTAAAACAAACAAAATAAAATGTCAACTTGTAAATTGAAATGTGCTTTTAAAAATTAAAAATGGTAGGTTAATGTTCTTAAAAAGTAAAATAAAAACTCCTGTACTTAAATATAAAGTATTAGCATATAGTATCATCAAAACCTGGAGATGTTGCTTGGACCTCATAAATATAGGCTATATGTCATCACATTGCTATAAAAATTGATACAAAATGTAATACCTTGTAACATAGTGTTGTTAAAAGTATTGACTTTGGTACCGAACACAATCCTTTTGAAAACACTACCTTGTAAGATAGCATTTAGGACTTTAACACTTTTAAAAGAGACTTTTTAATAGGCCTGCGTAATTAATCTTTTTTAATGATTTGGAAAGGTGCGATTTTCAGTTTAATTCATCTTTACTTCTATAGCGTTTTCACACTGTAGATTTTGTCAAAGCACCTTAACATAAAAGTTCTAGTAAATTGAAAATGTGTCAGTGCAGTTTTCAGAGTTGAAGTTTAATTTAGTGCAGTTCAAATCGCAAAAGCTGCGATTATTTCCCAACCGACAACCATTGCTCGTTAATTGAATATTAACCGTTATCCAATCAGATTAATATTAAATGATGATTTAATAATAAAAAACAACAATTGGCATGTAGATTTCGTGTGTTAAACATTAAGGCAATTGCATTTTAACATATTGATTTATTTTAACATGCAAACAACGATAAATAACATTAACAACAGAGCTTTGATTTAGGCCTATCATAAAACGTTTAACAGCTTTTAAATAATCAGTAGCATATAGCATGCTTCGATAATGCTTGGTGTTTCTTTGGTGCTATTAAAACTACATCATCAAATCTATATCTCTTTTGTGAAATGGTAAAATCACAAATCGCAATTTTAATCAGCTAATTCACAATTTTTTTTTCCAAATTGTGGAGCCCTATTTTTTGTAAGATTAATCTAAATTGCTTTATCAACTTTTAATATGTTTTAAGATCCTGCTTTTGGTCTTCTATTGTCTGAGAAAACTTTTCCCAGCACTGCACATTTGCCAACATGATGCAATTCTACACCGATTTCACAAAAGCACTTCCCAAAAGCAAAGCTCTATTTTAACGCTTGTGAAACAATCCCACCCCCAAGATCTCTAATGACGCTAATTAAGCCCAACAACTGTACTTGAATAACAACCCTTGACCTCTAACACAACCCACAGAAACACACACACTCAAACCACAGCCTCTCGTGAAAACCTGATTTCAACAAAACAAAACCTCTTACAACAGAACAAGCTCAGGATGGCTAAATCGGCAGATTATGTTACAATTTGGCACGGCGAACATTTGGATATTTATTTTAATTTGAAAGATTTGCGTCTACACAGGCTGAGGAACAAGGTAGGAGGAATAAAACAACCCTGAAATCAGGTCTGTGCTCTTAAGCAGAGAGAATGTTAAGAGGCCCTAGAGAGAACCAAGGGGTCCCGGCTCCTTTCTCTCCCTCTCTCATTCACTCTCTGTTGATTCAATCCCAGACACTAAGCAAATGGCCCGTCTCCAACCATATCCCTCCCCAAACGCGGCCCAGAAACCCCAGCCCGTCCCCTGCCACACACAGTCAGACTGACAGCTGGCTCTTCACACAGCAGCATCACAGCACCCCACTCCTCCAGCATATCAGCTTACACTCACATGCAACGCCGTTCAACAATAACACACACACACACGTCCACCCTTTGCCGCAATGCCAAAAACTGGCGAGACATGCAATCTATAACAGCGAAGAGGATTCAGATTTTAAATTCGCAATAAAATCCTCTTAGACATTTCAGACAGACATTTTGGCTTCAGAATTAGTAAATTGACCTAGTTATAAATCTGATAACTGTACATTGATGGCACCTTTTTATAGCACTAGACATGCATTATTACTCGCTAAAAGAATATGAGGTCAATTCAAGGACTGTATGACACCAATTGTACCTAATCAAGTTTTATTTTCATCAATTTGATCACGAGTGGTCGACAATAAATAAATGTAGAAATAAACAAGGTCTAAACCATTTTGAACTTTAGCCCACTTTCAGAAAGTTATGATCTGATCACTTTCATAGTGTACTAGGGTTGTAACAATATACGGGTATGACGGTTTACCACGATTTGAACGTGCACGATTATCATACCATGAACAATTGCATATCAACGGTTTTAACCCTTAAAGACCGAGACAGCCGCCCGCGGCTAAAAATAAGTATTGCTCTTAAATGTTTAATAACTTTTGATTCGCTGATCCGATTCATAGAATTCAAAGATTGGCATAAAGAAGAGAATCTCAGCTTTCCAGTGCTGTATCACATAACATTCGCGGACTTTCAGAGGCTCCGCAATCAGTGCGGTTACGTCATCAACATTTGACAACGCTGATTTGACAAAGAAACGCTCGTCACTGTGTCTCCGGACAAATCAGACATGATACATTGATGCATTGTCCCTCCTCCATGCCCAGATTGGTTCAAACTCGCTATATCACAACCAATAAGCATAGGTTTCGCTTTTGTTTGTGGACCAAGCTTTTTGAACAACACGGAATGAGAGATAGGCATACATTTATGCGCGGCTAAATAAAACGCAAAAAAAAAGTTTTGCATGAAATAATTCTCATACTAAGTACTTTTGCATGCACAGCAGCACAGAAACATGACAAAACAGTGACACAGCAAAGACGAACTGCTGCTCTTGCTGTTTTCAAAAGACACAAATGAAGGTGCAGCTGTTTGTCTGCATTGCAGACAACCACATCCAAATCCATATCGATAGACAACCATATCCATGCTGGCACATAAAACCTAGGGATGTTCCATATTGAATCTAGTTTCGTTATGTAACTATTTATAGTATAGTAAATATTTATATCTATTTTTTACTGAGGATTTGCACCATGTTTATTTGGACTTTGACACATTATTTATTATTTTCTTATTTTTATTTGTTCATTGTAAGTGGTGTTGTTTATAGAAACTAAAAATATATTTTTTGGAAAAAGTCAAATTTGCTTCACTGTTCTATTATTTTGTAACATACCGTATACCGCGAAACCGTCAAACCGTGGTATTGTTTTAGACGATTATCATACCGTGAAAAATTCATACCGTTACAACCCTATAGTGTACACACTCATATTTGGGTCGAAAGTATCCCAAAACCCACAAAAGATTACTTGTCTCACATTATGACCATTAGAAGACATGTTATGACAAAGAGCACCAAAACAAGGTACTCGTGCTTCCGTAGCTGCCATTCACATGCCTGTTATATGCATGCTTTTCCACTCAATCGCACGTTGCATAACATGACGCTTCGCACAAAGCAGTATAACACTGTGTCTAAAGTACACGCAACGACACATGATAAAAGACATATTTTTAGGGCTGAGCGAAATGGCA